TAGCAACCAGGACACTAGGATATATTCAACAAAGGTTGATGCATAATTGTTGAAAGTAATCGTTGAGCTAGGCTCTTTTTTTAAAAAAGTGGAGAAAGCCCAGAACCTACCCGCTGCCTCCTGAAATAACCTGGCAGATGAAAGACAGGCTCTGTGGAAAAGTGTTTCTCTGACTGGAGTTGCTTTTTATGAGGAAGATGAGGAGGCTATATAAGAGAAAGGTTGTTTTAAATTAAAGCAGGCTGGATTTCAGGGTACACAGATCACTAGGGTGACTGAGGTAAGGATAATCTTCGAAGAAAACCTGAGAGTATCAATCTCCAGGAAAAAAAACTCTAGAAAAACGATCTTCTCGTTCCTTTAAGCATTCCCCTTGGTGAAACAAAAGTTTAAACTCTTTGCCTCTCAGGTTCGCTTTCTTCTTTGGGGTTCTGCTGTTTTTCTTTGAGTGAGCACAGTTTAATTTGAAGCATCCAGCTTTGTCTTGGTATAAGGAGACCTTGGCCTTCAGGGTTGGGCTGTCCTCTGCTCAGCCACCCACTAGTGGTGTGGCCTTGGCCCTTTGAATGCCCTTTGTGCCACACAGACATCTGGTGGTGGAGAACCTGGAGACCGCTTTGGCCTCCCTTAGAAGCCCCTGTGAGATTTCTTTCTGAATTTCAATTGAGAAACAAGTCAAATTCAGCTTCTGGATAGATTCGTTTCTAAAAATTCCCTCTCCCTTGCCACAAAATCTTTAGAATCTGTCACCCTCAAAGAGATCATAGAGGGAGCTGATCAATAATCTTTTGGGTTTGGGTCTACATTCTCCTTCTCTGGGGCAAAATGTTTATGGCTTAGCCTAAGAAAATAAAGATGCGAGATAATGCAGTTTTAGTAGGAAATGAGAAACATTGCTTTTTTAACTTTCAAAAGAATGTCCCATTACACATATAAATACCGATTTACAAGGTGGGAGACTTGAGACACCGCACCAATAGACAAGCAATTCTGATGTTCAACAGAGTACTTCAAATGTTTTCTGCCCAGATACACATATTGCTCATAGTTATCCAGTTTTCACATAAGAATTTTATTTGATTTTTTTTCCACAAAACTCCTCAAAATTCTCCACTGAGTTCATAAGCTTCTCAGTGATCTGCTTGAATCACTGTCCAACACGGTGGGTATATTCTGTGTTTCTGTGAAGTTGTTTTGATGATCAAGGTCTTTTGAAGTAGAAAAGCATATTTTGGGGGCTAGAGATTCAGTAACTATCTTCTCTAAATTCTGCATTCTCTAAATTCTGAATTCCCAACAGGCTTTCAAAACCACCCTTCTTACTCCCTTTCCTCTGAATCCAACTGGAAGTTTCCCATTCCCTATCTACTGTTGTCTTATTAGGAAGTAGATTTACACTCAATAGTGTTTCCTAGCCTCCTGAGGGCATGGGTCCCCTGTGAGAATCTGATGAAAGCCAGTAAGCCTCCCCCTAGAAAAGTGTGCATGCAAACTTTGTGAACAGTGTCAGAGGTCTTCAGAGGTCCATCTGTAAACTCCAGGTTAGCCAAGATCCCAATTTAGCATTTATTGTCTCAGCTGTCATGGAAATTGACATTAAAATCAGCTCATGGGGGAAAAAAATGTGTAAACATAGGTCAGGGAATGCTTAACTCTTTGTATGCTGAAAATACATATTATATTTCTCTGGAGATGTAAATATTTGTGAATCTACTTAATGAGTATTATATGGATAAATAATACTAAGTTATTTTTGAAGTTCTGGTGGCTTTTGGTAATGATGCTTCTAGTTCTGTTCATAGTATCGCATCTTCTGGGAGTCATAGCTGTGTACATATGATTAGAGTCTTTCTGTGAACTACAGAACCATCACTTCGTATTAACATGATTCTTTCTGCTCAAATAAAACTTCAGTGATGTCTTGACAATCTTTAGAATTTCATTCTTTAAGTTTGCTCAAGTATTATCTATTCCAATTTCCCTTCTTGAAAATATCCACCTCAACCAACCAGGTGAGGGCCCCTCCTCTGAGTCTCATCACACCTCACAAGTGTGTATGTTGTTCCTCAGTGAGTTACACATGTCTGGTTAGATGCTCCATTGTCCATCATGCTGTGAATTCCACCGAGGCAAGGACAGTGTCATTCTCATCTGTGTGCCCCAGTAGCCAGCACAGGGCTCAGCACATATAGTAGGTGCTCAACACATGTTTGCTGCACGTGAACTAAATCACAGTAATTTTTCATAATTTCTCATGTAATAAATAGACATCAAACATGGACTGATTGTGTTAAGTGGGCTTCATCTTTTGGATTAACTATTTTAGTATTGTAACTTAGTCTTTCACAGTCTATATATTCAAGGAATAATTAGATCAAAGCTAAAGAAAAGCAAGTTAGAGTTAAGATGAATTGATAGTACAGTGTGTTAATTCTGTCAAGTAGAGATAATAAAGGGAGGTTACCAAGTGTGAGTTTGTAGCCAGTTGCTGGCTTCCTGTCTAATTTAGTAAAGACCACAATAGTCACAGAAAAACTATGTGATAGACAAAGTTTTTCTTAGACAGATGTTTAACCTCTGCAGTCTGAGCCAAACCTGACTTCTCCATACCTCCAAACTCCCCACCCTCTCTACTTCTAAGCCTTATTTGTCGAACTCTGCCAAGCAGCTTTATGCATCCTGGGACTTACTGGTCCTGCTGCTTTCTCATCAAGAATGCCCAGCCTCGTGACTACATAGTAAATCCTCATCTTTCAAGAACCTGCTCAGAGGCCATTCTTCCTATGGACCTTTCTCAAATCCTGGGCAAAGGAATTTCTGCTTCTCAAGCACGCTGGGAGCACGGGCTACTTCTCATGAGACTCTCATCAGACCCTCAATTCATGAGGACCTGAAAAAATAGTCACTTCCAATAGATCCTCTTTCTCTTAATAATTTAAAGATTGTTTCCATTTATATGTTATCTATTTCCTTCTAATCACCTTTGGATAGACATCTGCCTTTAGAATTTCTCCAACTATAAACTTTTTACAAAAGTAAATTTGATGCACAGACATAAAGGATTAAAGAACCTGTCACACATCTTTTTAGCAAAACTGGATAGTCCAGATTCTTGTTGCAAGATGTTGTATGATGAAGCCCTTCCTGTTGAATGACTAATAGGATAAAAATACCATATTTCTTTTTTATCCTTATCGATATTGTTGATAACATTTGTTCATCAATTCTTGAGCTTGAAAAAACTCACCTAGGACTTTATCATCTGAAGACTTAGTCTGAGATTTTACTAATATAATCATTTTCATCATTATTATTAGAATCTAGGGAGCTGCTGTCCTCTTTGAATGCATCTTCCAAGTTATCTAATAATTATGAAATGTTGTTCTCTGTCAGTTTTTGGTATTCTCAATTGTATGCAATGAAAAATAAAAGCAGATACAAAATGGTGATAATTTATTTCACTATTGAATTATTCTTCTATACAATTTTATTATTCTATTTATGATCTTAGTCTCTTTTAGCATAACTAGGAATAATTGGTGAGTAATGAGGAAAGTAATTCCCAGGGTGATGAAATAGCAAACTGCTTCAAAAGATAGGAAAAATAAGATCATGAAGATCCCATCTTGTATCTTAGATTTATAAAAGATTCAATTGACCCTTATATTAAGTGCAAAATATAGTGAGTTCATTTTATTTTAAAAGTGAGTAAATTTTCTCTGTGTTCCTTGAAAGCCCCCTAAGATAATAAAAGCTGTGAAATACCATGCCCTACAAATAGATAGAATAACTCCAAAAAGAAATTTGAAAACTGAAATTGGGTCTAGTGGACCCTGATGGTGTGACAGATTATATATGGACCCAACTGAAGTCCGAGGATAGAGTAACTGTCATACTCTCCCTGTCTTCCTGGAGTTCCCCAGGTCTGGTAAGGGCCTTATTCATAGAAGGAGTTTAGGAGGTAGTCGCCAAATAGATAGTAAGAGCAGGAGATATAATTATTAAACTGGAACAGTAATTATTAAGGAATGTCACAGGATATTCCTTACATATACACAAGAACCTTGCACCATCTCAAAAGCTTTGTGCCCTTTGCCCAGAATGCTATTCTTCCCTCTCTCCCTTTCAGCTAGATGACTTAACTTAAACATCACTTCTGCAGGGAAGTCTTCCTTAATCCCTGACCCTTCTTATCAAGTGCTTGTTTCTGGACTGTGAGAGCATTCCTCCTTCACCCCACCACCAACACACACACATCCTCTTTTCTGTACCTTTCACCACTGTGAAAAGTTAGTATACACCCACTAACCAACTTCTCTTCGTCTTACCCTCCTGCTTTGTTGGTTAATAGTTACAAAATTATAGTTAGAGAGAAACCATTTTAGTTTTGGACAGCACAGGAGAGTGACTGTAGTTAACAATAATTTATTGTATATTTGAAATATACAATTAGCTAGAAGAGAAGATTTGGAATGTTCTCAACACACACAAAAAGCGATAAATGTTTGAGATGACGGATATCTCAATTATCCTGATTATATCATAACATGCTGTATGCATGTATCAAATATCACACTCACTTAAATATGTACAATGATTATGTATCAATGTTTTTAAACAGGTATGTAAATTTTTGGTATGTCTCCTCCACCAAGGATCACCCAGGTTTCTTCTGCCTCCTCAGTGCTAGCCCAGTGCTGCCCATGGCGGGAGCTCAGTGAGTCTTCTGTGAGGGGAAAAAAAAAAAAAAACAACAATATATGTAAATACTTTCCTGAGTACAGATGCTCACCTTCATGTACCCTTTAACAAAGTGTTAAAATGCATGCATTTGAGAAAGTAAAGATAAAAATAAAAGTCCATCGGAAGAAAGCAGGCCAGGTATGAGAGCTATTGCTTTCCCAAACTCTCTCTTCCTTTAACTCAGGGGTAATTGGTAACAAGAAGCTGTATGACTATAGCAGAGGAGTCCTCATCTTTTGATCCTGGCTTCCATTTAGGTGTCAGGAGACTTATCAGAGACAGACATCAGCAATGAGACTCAGCACCCCCAGACCCCCACAGATACCACGGAGGAGAAACTGAGAAACAGACTGTATGAATTGGCAATGAAAATGAGTGAAAAGGAGACTTCTTCGGGGGAGGATCAGGAGTCTGAGCCCAAGACAGAATCTGAGAACCAGAAGGAAAGCCTGTCCTCTGAAGACAACAGCCAGAGCGTCCAGGAAGAGCTGAAGAAGGTAAGGGCTGTGGAACCAGCTGCAGATAGCTCAAGCTTCTGCAGCTGGAGTGTTGGGGACAGGTTCTATATTTGTGCAGAAATGTGCTGGGTCCCTAAAGAGCTTTCTCTAAAATGCCCATCCCTGTGCACTTGGGGGAGCCCAAGAGAAGCCTTCTTAATTAGCACTGGATAATACAGTCAGGAAAATAGCGTCTTACACAGTCTCCCAAGACTGCTTGTCTACTACTATTCTTCATCAAGACAGCCCCTCGGCTTTGAGTCTGGGATATAGGGCCCCTGATCTCTCTCATTGGTAAAAAGTGTTATCTCCTGCCCTACCCTCTCTCTGAGAAACTTTGCCCATGGATTGAGGTCATCTAGCCGATCTCTCTTCTAATCAATAATGAAGTTTCGACTCTAAACCATGGTATAGCATCTCTGTGTTTAAAGCGGCCTTCTATATTGTTTATTCTGCAGTTTTCAGACTTCAGTATGTTTGTGTGTTTGTTTGTGTGTTTGTTTCAGCCTGAGAGTCCTTTGTCACACAAACCTTATATGGAATCCAGAGTTTCAAATTCATAAAAGCATTGCTGCTCTTAGAGTCCTCAAAGCCCCAACCACTTAATCTTAAGTCCCATATTTCTCTCCTTCCCCTACCACCACCCAAGGGACACAGTTTGAAAACACAGACGATAGACCAACACCTGGCAGAAAGAGAACCCACCCTCCTGACCCTCAGTGAGGGCTCTGCCCACTGTCTTCTTGCATGTACCTGGGTTTCCTCTACAGATTTTCAGAACATATTTATGCTAGACTTGCCACTTTAGAGTCAGGATATCCCTGACTGCCTCCAATGGAGGGGAAGAAACAAACATTTGTTGAGTGTCTCCCCAGTGCCTGGCACTTTACTTATGTCAATTAGCTCATTAAATAACCCTTTGAAATAGATACAGCCTATTTTTGCAGATAAGGAAACTGAGGCTGAATCATTAAGGTACTTACCCAAGGCCTGCAGTTAGTAAGTTTCAGAACTGAGGCTGCATCACAAACCTGCCTGGCCTCAAATTACAGGCCTCTAAATTCTGTTTTAGCTTTGGAATGATGATTCTGGTAGAGAAAAACCAAATTTTTTTCCCCACGTTCTGAGTATATGCTATATAAGTTAACATGTTGCTGGTAGCACACCAGTATGGGTAAGGAGTCCCCTTCATTTGTTCAGCAGCCAACCTGGGGTACCGTGGAGGAGTCAGGCAGAGGGAGGTGGGGACCATCACCCTTGACTGAGCCCCTGAACCCACTGACACCTCAGACTGCCTTTCACTTATTCCCATCCCACCCTCCATAACCATGAAAATTTTCCCTGGCTTGTCTGTGAGCTATAGAGTGGAGCTTGTCTCACAGGCAGCCACTCACTGGGATGTGGACTCCAACTTGTTGCTTCCTTCATGGTAAAGGGCTCTGATCCTCTCTGTTATGAACTAAGGTTGCATTATAACCACATTGGTATGCTAGAGCTGAGAGCCAGATGGTAACTGAAGAATATCACATTATTTCTTACAATGGCTCTGTGTCCTACTAGCTTTGCCACCCTGTGGTCCCAAGGCTCTAAACTCACGCTGTACCAGTGGCAGACCAGACTATGATGAGTCATGTACTTATCAGCCTGCAGGGAGCACCCTCCTAAGGCCTAGCCACCAATCTACACTATTCTGTCCTGGGCAGATTGTGAGGAGGAAAAGGAGGAGCCAGTGGGGGTGCAGAGTTCTCAGGACTTGGGCAAGCCTCCCATCCTGCCCCATGCCCTCATTGAGCAGGAATTTAAGAGAGTTGACCTTATTCAGATTCCCAAATATGTCAGCTTCTCAAAGTTCAAGTCCTTCCCCCTGCCAGCCAACCATGAATCAATGAATTAAATATTCAACCAGAAATTATTCCTTGTGTATAAAAATCCATATAGCAAACAAAAAGATAATATATTTTCCCCATCAGTCATGGACTACTCTGGTTAAAGAAAAGCAGGAATATGAGTTTACATATTGGATATTATGTTAAAACAGGAGAGTACAGAGAGAGATTTTAGGATTAGACTGAGTTTAAAACACAACCATGCAGTTTGCAAATTCTGTGGACTTTGGTTAATGTCTTCTAACTCACTGTCACTACTTAGAACAAGGTAATATTATTTCCTGCCTGCTTAGAACAAACTAATATTATTTCCTGCCTGCTTACCCTATCCTGCCTCCTAACTGACTGGGCTCCTGTCCTTCCAGGTCCATCCTGGCCCCTCCAATTTTTTCTCCATCCCACTAGGCAGACAGTGCAGTTCCTGTGCCTGCTCTCAGCATATCAACAGGCCCATGTCTGCTCTGTGTTTTAATTGATTCCTAGGACGCAGTGCAAGTTTTCATTGTTGATTGAATAAACACATCTTGGCCTCATTTGAAAAATGAGGATAGTCATTCCTCCTTATAGAGTTGCAAGATTGAACTATGGAGTGTAGGGTTTAGCCCATAGCAGGAGCCCAGCGAATTTTAATTGTTATATCCCTTCTAACAATCTCAAAGAAAATAAACTTCACTGTCATGAAGTAACATCCATCTGCTGGTACTGAAGGAACAGCTTAGTGCCGATCCCCAATCAACACTTGCCGTGTCAAGCTGTGGGTCTGTAACCACATTTGGTGCTCCTTAATGCTATGCAGAATGTAAGTGGGGGAAAACACTGTATCAGACCCCCAGCCTTCCATCTTCAGAATTAGAGTCACAGTGACTTCCCCCATGGTCCAACCACCACTAGTCTGTACAACACACACACACACACACACACACACACACACACACACACACACACACCCTGGCTGGGGAGTAGATCCTAACCAAAGTGACTATTCCAGAAGCTGCCAGTACCATCCATGGTAATGCACATTGGCCCCAAGTCCAATTGCCCGAGGGCCTTCTCAGAGCAGCAGGAGCTCCTCTTCCTGTACAGAAGACAGACTGGACAGCCTGAGAAACACCACTCCCAGGGAAAATCCTAACCAGTGACTGATGGGAAAGATGTAAATATCCTAACTCCTATGCGCTAGTTGGAGTGGCGACTCTGAGGCCTGAGCCATGCATGGATTCCCCAAGTTCCCCAGCAGATTTAGCTCTAAAAACCCACCATGATAAACTTCCTGATAAGGCAGGTTTCATTGGCTCCTTTCCCCACTCCTCTGCCACAGTTTCCTAGAATCATCTCCCAAATAAACCATGTGTACTCAAATCCTTGTCGCAAGGTCAGCTTCTGGGGGAGCCCAGACTTACATATAGTAACCTAACAGGAGAAAATATAGTGCTCCCAAATCACAAGTACTCACTTTAGTATTGTAAATAAGCAATGAGGAAATCTGAATGCCACATTGACTGTAATTAGCCTTATCTCACCAAGAGGAGCCTTGCCTCATACAGAGAGGAGCTCAGCCAGGTCTCCACCACTGTTCCTGCTGTCTAAAAGCCAAAGCAGTGGAATGGGCATATGTCCATAGACACAGTAACATCAGTGGCGGTTCACTATCCTCAGTATAACATCCCATCTAGAAATTTGAGTTTGAGAATCCTGTCCAATAAGCCAGGTGTGGTGGCTCACTCCTGTAATCCCAGCACTTTGGGAGGCAGAGGCGAGAGGATTTGCCTTAGCCCAGTGCTTCAAGACCAGCCTGAGTAACTTGGAAAGACCTTGTCTCTACAATAAATCAAAAAAATTAGCCGGGCATTGTGGTGGGCATCTGTAGTCCCAGCTACTCAGGAGGCTGAGGTAGAAGGATCACCTGAAACCAGCAAGTCAAGGCTGCAGTAGCTGTGAGCATGCCACTGTACTCCAGCCTGGGTGACAGAGTAAGCCTCTGACTCAAAAAAAAAAAAAAAAAAAAAAAAAAGAATCCTGCCCAGCAGTAAAAGAATCATTTTAGAAACCTACTTCCTCTTGATTAGATTCAGACTTTTGCTGTAAGCAAATGTATCCCTACAGTTGGATTAAATGTCTCCCTTTGGCTGGACATCGGGGGCCCAATTATGATTTAAGGACAGTCACTGCCATCTATTTTTAACTAGCTGAAGAACAAGCTTGAGGCCAGTCCAAAATCCTCTTGGCAACTAGATTCCACATGCTGTCCACGTGTATCTCATCCTCATATAATAACTCATCATTCACTTGAGGGAACAGTGCCTTTCATCCCAGGGAGCATTTTATTCCAAAAGAGTATCTTTGTCTCCACTTGGTGCTAGAATGGATATAGCATTAGAAACTGACCTGTAACTTTCAAGCTACACTAATTTCAATAGGTCTTAATGCCTATTGAGGAATTAACACCTCTTATTCAACTTTCTATTTAACTGCTGCCCTAGAAAAAAGAGAAGCTTTAGCTGCTTATTTAGAGCTACAGCTCTTATCCACAGTGCTTGAACAGATGAGGAGGTTTCATTTCACTCATGCTGTCACTGGCACCATTCATTTCCACAACTGTGTCCTGGAGAAAGGCTTGCCAGACTGGGAAGGCAGAATTCAGATTTTCTCCTGAATCGCTGGGGCTTCAGCAAAATATCTTCCACTCTAGACAAAATAGACTGAGGTCTACAGCAGAGCTCCAATGAAGACATTCTTTAAGCCGCCGTAAGATGCAGGTGTTACATGAAAGGCCAGGAAAAGGATCCCATGCCAGCCATAGCAGTGATGAGACACTGGACAGATACGGTTTGACAAGAAAAGGGTTGTAAGTAGAAAGGTCTAGAAAACAAGGCACTGATTCAGAGCTTTGCCCCATGGAAGCCCAAAAGGAAGGTGGGATTATGAGGAGGGAGAGGGGCGAGGAAGCAAAGATACCGTGCATCTGACGCTCTGCCGAATAAGCAAGATTGTGCTCTTGGAAAATCTCTCTGGGTAGTGAATATAAAAACAAAGAAAGAAGGAAACAGATGTATACCAGTTTCTCCTACAAACACAAATACCAAAATCCCAAAGAAAATGCTAGCAAATTGAATT